ACGCCGACCAGATTAATGCGCCGTTATGACGCTCGTCACCTTTTTGATACTTGTGTAACTCTTGTGGGTTGTACTGCTATACAATTACGTTTTTGATGTCGTTCTTTCATTTTACCCACATTTGGATTGTTTTTCCAATGCACTAAAGTTTAACATACGTTTTTTAACCGCTTTCACTCGTACGATAACCGTAACAAAAAAACACTGTGAACAGCCTCTTGAGGCGAGCTTACAATCCATATTTTTCCGGCGCCCGAAAAAAAAATTAAATTCGTCGTCGCCGAGTGTTTCTGCCCAACCTCAAGTCATGTATTTTCGTGATTTTCCAAAGTATAGGCAAGCGATAGATTTCAGCGCGCTTATGATTTGCGTCCTGCTTGTGACGCATTAGTGCTCTCAAACTGTGTTCCCTTTTTTTTCTCGTTAGTTCTTGGTCCTCTTTCCTTTCAGTGTTGCATCTTTATCGTATTTATTCTTCATGTTCTAGATTAAGTATGTAGGATATTTTTTAAAGAGTTGACTGTAAATTGCTTCATAGAATATTGTGGCTTGAATTATTCGACTATGCGTAAATTTTGCCCTTAAGTTTGGATTATAGTCGGGTGCCCCGCAGATCACGAAAAACTCTGTAGTTTTGAATAGGATCTGGAGGTCTGTGCATTTATGTATGTAGTTTTAGCCCGCGCCTAAACCTAGCTTGCACACACGAGCGTGTGGATTATAAATCTGGGCTAATGACGTGCTCATTGTGAGCGAACATCGAAAAATTGCAGAAAATGCAAGAAAATACAAGGCACTCTACTCAACCTCTCCCTGAAACAACTCCTGGTAGGCCTAGGCATAATTGGAATGTCATATCATAGTCTGGTGATGATCTCTCTGTATCGTTGCCATCAAACAGAGACAGTTTGTTTCTCCATGTTGATAATATTGAGTGGGAAACAAACCAGCAACAGCGTTCTGTTTGCATAGGATGTAGTCCACGACAAAAAAAATTAACTATGGAAAACATAATTTCATGCTGTATCTTGATACTCCCGGTTGGAAGCCTTCTTGTCATCATACTACTCCTGCAACAACTGCATGGTTGTCTCGACTCATACTACATTTACTAGTCATAGGTAAGTAGAGCAAATGTACGCCTACACAGTGTCATCAATACATGTAGTTCACCTGCATTGAACAAAAGTCATCCCCATTCATTAATTTTTTGAAAACCTGAATTAATGACCGAAGTCCACTTGATTCTGAGGACACTAAAGAAGATTATTTTTTTCATCAATATGAATTATAGGAGTTCAAAGTGCAGTCTGTGTTCAAATTATGTAATATTTCATGTGCATACCGATTGAAAAGTATAATTAATGACCAATTAAATTTTTTGCAATTATAGTGCAGTTAATTATTACGTTTTACAGACTTCCAAGCAGAAATTATTTTAGAAATTCATCACATAGGTGTATGTCTTTTTGTCAGTGAGATACAGATGCAGCCAAAACAGTTGGCACCAGTGAATGCAAGACAGATGAGGACTGAGGCTGAGAAGGAAGCTGTCTACTTTCAACTGGGGATTTTCCTAAAAGCACAAAAAAGTCCAGGAAAAGGACTGATCACCACAGCAATCAAAACTGCACTGCACATCTTCAAGTATAACACAGTATAGAAGTATCAAGACTTTGTCAGGAACCAAATTAGATAAAGATAAAGAACGATTTACATGCTTATCCACTTTGGGATGAAATTGCCCAGTTATTTAAGCCTTTGAATTGAGTAGTTTGTTGGCTTTTTTGGGGGTGGGGGAGAGAATAAGATGTTTGCAGAAGACACATAATGGTAGTAAGTTCTTGAGGAAGGGAAAGCTGCCCTTCAGTTTTGTATCCGTCATTTGTGGCTAATGCTCTTTATTTAACCACTTTCCTAGCTTGCAGCAATACTGTGACTGGTTTTCTATTTTTTCCAAGTCAGCAATAGACGGTTCAGATCCTGAAAGCAGTGCTGCAGGACTGTTGTATTTTCTCTCAAGCGTCCCTTTAACATTTCTATGGTAAAGATTTACCAATTGTACAAACGACTTGTTATAATAAGTGGTTCAAGTTCTGTTCAGTCAGGATATTTATTGTATGTTTCACTACCATTGGTATAGACTCTTCTGATTTTCATTTTCGAGGCAGATATATGCATAACATGCAGCAAGTGTAAATTAACCATCAGCAGCTGCAAAGTCAAATTTTAGATATAAGTTACATGGTAATTTTTGAGATGTGATCATTTATAAGCATTCTTTTCAAGTATTTTAATTGATATCTCCCATATTTCCTGTACATCCAAAACAGGTGAAAGTGCCCATCATCAAGTAACATACTGAAATGCCCATGGTCACTTGACAATACAGAGGAAAAGTTGACAAATAGTGTTCAAAAGACTATTGTTTTCATTTTTTAGCAAACATTGTTTGAAAATGTGTATTATATAGATACAATTCCAAGTGCTTATAGGTTATGAGAAGTTCCAGTTATTGACAAAATAATAGTGTTTTTTTAATTGTTTGACATCCAAGTCAATTCTGGAAACATGAGACCATGTTTATGTTTTGGAGGTTGAGGCACTGTCCAAGCTAGCATACTCTCAAATTCATTAAGCCAAACGCTATACATGTTCAGCACCTAAGGGTTGAGCAAAGTAAAACACTTTACTGCACTAGCTAAATTCTGAAAGTTTATTTTAGACAACGGTGGTTTTGTTTTCAAAAGTTATAAAATGCAGGGAATGGTTGAAGAGATAATTCCTTTTCTTTTTAATGGAAACCTTATGTTGAGGGTTGAAAATATATATTATGTGACTGGTGACTTCTGCCGATGTTACAAGTTTTACTTAAATAAACCATTTCGCATCATTTATGGGCTGTACGTGCCACCATAGGCATTCAGTGTTGGGCTTGACAATACAAACCCTTTCTTTTCAAACGTGCAAAGTGGACCCTTAGATAGAAAGTTAATTGTCATTTTCCTTCATTAAAAGAAAAAAAAATATTTTTTGGTGTTACATCTCAAAGGAATTCCTGGACCTAAAGGCAGCTTAAGAAATCGTACACAAGTACGGTGACTACACTTCAGTGTTGACCAATCATTCATATTATGCGCTCTTGCATCGACTGATCGAGTAAAAACATGTCTTAATGCGACCAAGGGATAGCGGTCAACCGCACGAAATTCAGCTTGCTTAATATTGTTGAACTTAAATGCAGTCTTTTCAAGGAGGGGATACATCCCCTTTTAAAATTACAATTTCACAGTATAAATGTAAGCTCAATGCATAAGACCCCCTTAAGATGACTTAAAACATCAAAAACTTTTCATGTGTTGACCAACTTTGACCAAGACAGTTTGTACTGAAACACAAGGCAGTTTGTATTTGCCGCATTGTATAAATGTTCATAAGCTGTCTTGGGAGGCAGGGGGGCAGAGGTGGCATATGGACACTGAAGGAGGGATTCCAATTTGATTGCGGACCAAAAGAGAACAACCCACTGTTGAGGACAACATTTTATATTCTTTTTTTTAATCGTGAGAGTTATCTGAAACTCATGTCCAGTTTAACCCCATGATTGCACGGTTTGTCTCCTCTGTTGGTTAAAGAATTTCGCCAAACAGGCCTGTGCCTATACTAAAGTAACCCGTCAAATAAGACACTAGAGACTGCCTGGAGACACCTTCCAATAAACATCCCAAATTCCGAAAGAGGGCAGGGGAAGCGGTTCCTGGAGAGGGGGAGGGGCATATTCGTCAAATTTACATGAAAAAGTCCAGCTTGCTTTCACGTGAATGCACGTTTGTTTGCTGGGGATGTTGGGGCTGTTTGTTTTCAAATGAGAAGTGGGGGAAAAATATACAGCCTTTAAAATTTTACAGTTTAGTATAGGCTTAAAGTGTGGCTGCAGTGAATTTTTCTAAAATACAATTTTTCTTCGTTATATTGTGCTTCAATGTATGAAAACCCTCCATTTCCAATTTGTTTCAATGCATTAAAAATGCATGTTTTTAAACAAAATTATCCACACCTTCCCAGACAACTGAGGCCATTCAGGGGAAGACATGGTTCAGTGCGTAGGTGTTTCTGTTCAAATTGGAAACCCAGAATTTCTGGAAAGGTTAGCTCCGTGACCTTACCCGTCATTTGCCCCTCTATCTCTGTCGGTGCAAGAATATTGCTTAACAGGCGAATGCAATAGCACTTGAGTAACCCATCAATTAAGGGGGTAACACACACTACAGACCGCATGGTGACATTGTGAGAAATTTTGAAGGGGATAACCATCAGTTCCCAGGCAGTAGGCCATTTTCGCCAAATAGGTCACGAAAAAGCACAACTTGATAGCTCGGAGAAATGCATTCTTTATTGGGGTGCGGGGGTGTTTGTTTATTGTTCACATATGGGGGTTGGGGAGCAATACACTCCCTTTCAAAATTTCAGTTAAGTGGGCTTTAATGTATAACACCCCCTTAAGATGACCAATAACTGAAAAACTTGTACCGAGTAAAACCCGGACGTACGTTGACTACATCTTGCATTGAAACATCAGTTTTATTGAACAATGAAACATTTGAATAGATGTTTGTACATTTGTTTGTTTCCAAAAACGAGATGGGAATCAATACACTCCCTTTCAACATTTTACAGTTAAGTAGGCTTTATGTACATGTATAAGACCAGTAAGTGATGCTGCATTGGATGAAATTTTAGTGGAATCTCATTGGGGTGTGGCAAAGGGGCTTGAGTGTCAACTGTACGTCCTATGTCCAGTCCGTGTGTGTGTGGGGTTTAACAAAAATAGGGGGAAAAAGAATTGAAACTATTGGACTGGGTGTGTGTGTGTGGGGCAATAACAAGAAGTAGGAAGGTGCTTAACTTTGATATCTGGCAGCATGGGAACTTGCCATCAACTTTTGTGACAACCTTGAAATAACTTTTTCAACAGTAAAAAGATAGGTGGTAATGTCTGGTTTTGAGGCCTCGTTAATTAATGTTTATTGGTTCTTTTATTTTTACTCCCCTTCTATTCAAATTTGTATAATGTTTCAAAATACCGAATCTCACAGATCACTAAACAGTAAGAACATGACTAATATTCACATCTCTAATTGTGTTTCAGAAATTGAATGCTGGTTTCACAACAGGTAATACTTGAGTTTTTGTATACTGTAAAAAAGAAGGAACATACATGTAAGTAAAAAAATTTGGCGATTTTAAAAACATCTCATAATACATGTATGTCCTTTTGTCAGTTGGCCTTGTCAAAAGTATCCCATTAGTGCAATTGGAACACGGAATACATGAACACACACATGAATGTGGTGCATGCACAGAGTTTAGAACAGTCTGCTTCAAGTTGAGAACGGGACTTTTGCATCAAATTGTAGCAGCTTACATCCATTCAAATTTAGATTTCAGACACTGAGAACCAGACTGGAGCAACCAACATTTTAAAAATAACCTCATTAAAGAGTTTCTAGGGTGAAGATTTGCTGTGGCAGAATGCCCTAATATGTATGCTCACAATGTAGCATCAGCAGCAATCAACAAATTGATAATTATACTCTGGAAATGCTGAAGCAAACCTATAGATAGATCAAGTTTGAGAATTGCAAACTGTTTTTGGAATACACCACTAGTTTTGAACGTGTTCACAAAATTTCAAAATAGTAATGAATGGGGATGGCCGACAGGAGTGCACTGAAAACTTTTAGATACATTCTTCAACAGTCAAATTATGTTGGTTGGTATAACGTCTGGTTCCAACAACCTCATTTTTGAGTGTGTAGTCCTATTGGTTCTCTTATTTTACTTCCCATTCCAGTTGTATTTGTATGTTTCCAAATACTGAAAGTATATCACTAATATTCCTAGTAGTTGTTCCAGTAGTTGAATGCTGGTTTCATAACAGGCAATTATTAAGTTTTTGAATACCATAAAAAGAGGGAACAAAAATAAAACAAGTGATTTCTAGAATAACACTTAATACATCTTGTATCCCTTGAGTGCAAGTAGCACACAGAATAGTATTGCTTCCACGTTCCATGACATGAGGCCTAAGGCTAAGTGACATATGGGACACAGACACCCTACATTATTCCATGTTCTACTCACATTCATGAGATAACAAATTTATCTCTACTGAAGTAAACTTGATTTGCTGATGCACATACAGATCATGCTCATGCACAATGTTTTTAACAGTGCAGCAGCCTGGTAAACATGTACAATTAATAAGTAGCTGTCAAACACACTGTAAGCTAAGAAACCTGACATTTCAGCATACACACTGTACAATATGCTACCAATTTGCTTAACGATAATATTCAATATTTAACTTAAGACTGCAGTTACATATTCAGGGACCATTTCTTAAGTTATCAGATTACTGTAAAGTTATTAAATGAAGTTCACATACAATTCCGAACAACTGTCTACAGGGAACTGGGTTGGTAACAAACAAAAAGTTTGAAGTGGTAATCAACTTTGAATAATCAAAATCTATGGTTCAACCATTATACATCACTCTCCTACATTATCTGTGATTGAAACATCATTATTTCTTATACCATCTACAGAGACATGATTAAGATGCGTGCTGAAAATATAATTAGTTGAAATTAGGTTTCAGTTATCAAGAGCCTGTTACACTAAAGTAGATTTTGTTTAAAATACAACCATTCAGCATTATCAGTGACTGAAACATAACAATTCTTATGTCATCTACAGAGACTTGATTATTGCTGAAAATATAATTAGTTGAAATTACGTTTCAGTTATTAGGAGCCCTTTACACCAAGGTAGATTTTGTTTATAACACAATCATTCTGCCTTATCTGTGACCGAAACATAACAATTCTTATGTCATCTACAGAGACTTGATTAAAGATGCCTGCTTTCTGGGATGAGGATTTAACATATCCACTGGCCTTGATGCGTTAATGAATGCTTTGGTGCCATGAAAAGTTTAATGTTTTTAAGGCCAAAGTGGCCTTGCTCCTCAGATGACGAAATTCCTTCCCTGGTATTTGCAAACGAACAATGGGTTGATCTGTGATCGCAACACACCTGGCATACTGTATTGACTAGCTCAACATGGCGGCGCAGTGGCTTTATTCACAGAGCTACATGCCCTATGGAGATCAGTACTTTCATTTAAAAAGGAAAATTTTGGTTCATCCACCTGTTTTTCAAAAGCACCCTAAACTGGTGTGCTAATATGGAAATGTGCTAATTTGTAACAAAACGCTCTCTGTCCCTTTTTTCCAATTCTTGGTCTCTTTTTCTTTCTTTTCCTCTTTCGTTGAAAACTTTTGTCTTTATGAGAGCTATCTTCTCTGGTGTAGTGATCCCTGCTGGGTCAAGGATGTGGGGGAATTTACGAAGAAATTGCTTAACTTCGACCTTGCCTGGAATTGGAAGTAATAAAATAAGAAATGCAGTGTAACTCCTTTTGGCTCGGAATATATGCCACTTTCACCTCCTTGTACATTTACTGCTTTATGGACATGCTCAAAGTAAGCAAATGATCCACAGTGTATTTCCTCTAATAATTAGGAGCACCCAATTAGACAATATTCATGTATATAATTTTGGTGATTTTTTGCCCTGTGCACATGGGAATATTCATGTATTAGAGCACTAACTTGTCAAGTCCCTCATACAAATAACAAGTAGCCCGGGTGCAGCCATCTGTTTATCTCCTATGTGCTGATCAACGTTGCATGAATAAAGAAGTTAATTAAATCATTTGGAAACTACGTACATGAGAGGTCATGCATGTTAAAACCAGGGAATACTGAGTGACAAAGCAAGTCATAAGCATCCCACATGCATATAAAACATGTGCCTCATATACTGCAGACAGATACACAAAACACTCATTTTCATCTTTAGCATTTCTATCAGAATGATGACATGCGCACAGGAATAAATGTGAACATGTAGCTGTACTCGAGACGTACTACATTTATAAACCTTCCATAGGTTAGAGCGCAGGTTAGTGACAAATCACCGTTTCACCAGAACTTCAGTTTCTAAATGTATCACTGTTTTGAAGGTAATTTGTTTCTTTTGTACCAAAAAAGTAACTTAAGGTAAGACTGAACAATTTTTGCAGAATGATAGGAAAGTTACATGGATTTTTCCGAATGGTTAGGGAGGTATCCTTTTATGTCCTGATTTTATCATTTAAATACAGGGTTATGATCTTTAAGATCTTCAAAATAACTGGAACAAACATTTGAAAATAGCCTAGGCATAACGTTTTTCATTGCAAACATAGCAAATACACTTGCCTGGCAAAGACCCTTTTAGCCCCCGTATGCGTCTTGTCCATTATCCAGTCTTTGAAACCATTCCTGACACAAGCTGTGTCTCTTTCCTTCCACCTAGTATAACCTCTATCTGTGAAATAAACAAAAATCAGAATGAGCACGATCACACGTGTACTGTAATTTAATTACAGTATCAATGAGTGATGAAGTGGTTAAGTTAAACTACTACATGTACATGACATTCGTGTACATGTATTTATACTGGCTAGGGGTCTCATCATCAATGGTAACTGAGCCAAAGCTTCCTATTCACGATGTTTAACTTCTAAAAAAGTTACTGTAACCCTACTGTTCCCATCATGCACCACAACAAACATAAATTGCTATGTCAGTACATGGGTCTATTACTTGACATTACTGGTATGTAAACAAAATCCTTACCCTTTCGAGAAAAAATTAGAGAGTGCTTTGTCTTGGATTTTGAATGTGTGGAGGTCAAACCTGTAGAAAGAAATATGATTTCAGTAAGTGGAACTTGCAGTACTTTGCAGTGATGCAGTGAAACAACTATGAGCAGCGATACTGTCATGGCTTGTCAAAGATATCAAAGTTAGGTACATGTAGGTATACAAAGAACCATTTATTGTCACAGGTCTGTATTCTGCTTTGCAGTATATAAGTTCTGCAAAGGTTTCAATGATGCAATGGAACAATAAAGAATTAAGTGAAAATAGAGTGATGGATGAGGGTGGTGCCTGCATGGTGGGGTTTGCAGGGTCTATTCTACCATGAAGTACAATTCAAGTATAAGTCTAGGCAGTGTACTTCAACAAGAAAAACCACAACCAAAGTTTGGGGAGGGCTTGCTAGGGTTTCGTGCAGGTCTGCACAGTAGGTAGAGACTGTGTGGTCTGTGTTCTGCTATGTAGTAAAATGTATTTTAAATTTAGGTGGTGTTTTACCCTCCCGATGTGTACATCAGACAAAAACACACTTAACACCAAATTGCCCGCCACACGATACATAAATTAACGTCAGCAGAACACAAGTAAAAAGTCCTGCTGCAATAGGAAACAAGGAAAACAAACAAGAGGGTGATGGATGTTTCTAGGCCAGCCAAATCAGACCAAGGAGGCATCTGTCTGTATGAGATTTCCACAGTCACTTCAAACCCTCACATGGTCACTTAGCCATCACAGCATCACACACTTTAACACTTTTAAAGATACAAAAAAACTGAAGATTGACCTGAAAATTTCATTTTGACTTGAGCAAAGACATAATATAAGCAGCAAATACTTCCTAAAACCTTAACATTTCTTTCCAATACATACTTAACATCCCTCGGGAAGCTGCACTGGGATAACATTTACCATGTTACCATATTCGGTCACAACTTTCTGCCTTAACTACGTTAAAAAATATTGGTTCAGATTGATATGTTCTTAAGACATTCCCAGCAAAAGAAAAAATTAAATTGAAGCTTGTCAGTTTTTATTAGTTCTAATGGAATTAGAACTTGGATATTGGTTAAAGAAAAACAATAAATCAAAAGGCTGATGACTCCTTTTTCAAGGTGGAATTAGAGAGAGAGAACTACGATCACGCCTGCATGGATCACCCACATATTTATAACTCCGTGTTCATTCACTAGGGGCTGTGTAAATTCTGTCCTTATCAGAACCCTTGGCCGTGGAAGTTATTTTCTTGATGGTTTCTTTATATAAAAAAATCAACAAAAGAAGTAAGAAGAGTTGGCAGAACAAAAACGCAAACCACAAAAGGTAAAAATCATGTGAATAGTGCAGGTACTAGTGCTACACATGCCTGCAGCAACTACATGTAGCAAACACAATATGATGGCATGCACACATGGATGCCGGACTACCCTGTGTTTTATGTAACTCTGGGTCACTGCACTGGCTAAAACCTTCTAAACACTGTACTAAATGTTAAAACCGTTTTGATTAATTGCTAAACCCACCCTCTGAGGTGTTTTAAATCACCGTTTTAACTCTGAGATAAAACCAATTTGGTGTAACTTCGAAAGCATTTAGGGGTGTAACTACTGTTTAAGCAAATTTAAAACGGAGTCTGATCATAGCGACTCTATGTGCCACCCAGAGATAGATTGTAAAAACATCTAACTTTTCTCAAGAGCTTTAAAATTTCCCAAAATTCATGGATGGGACCCTCTACACCACTGAAGAGTATTAGAGGAATTCACCCGAAATTTGTGAATAGTATAAAATGTCTCACAACTTGAAAACTTAAGCAAAAATCAAAACCGTTTGAGCTAACCTGCAGATGGCCGGCAACTGGGTGGACGAATGGTCCAACAGATTGTCAGATAGACAAAAATTGGTGTTAGTACACATCAGACTCATTTGCATTTGCTTTAATTTGCAGCTCTCAAAAATGACAAATTTTATGTACATAGGCTTACCACTCGGTACAAATGTGACATGTTTCTTGGGTGTCTTGTATATTATCCTTGGTTCTGCGGATAAAAATTCCACAGAAATAAAGGAAGAAACTAGGAAAAATGCATATAAGATTACACATACAATTACAATTTAAAAGTGTTCTTCAAAGCAATTAATGCAATAGGTAACACAATGCCAATCAGGGGAAGTATTATAATTATGTAATGCAAAAAATAGTATCTATGCTTTAAAAAATAAGAAATGTTTGATACATTGCTTCATATTTACTTCATTGTTCTCTTACTTCAATGTTGTCGACTAATAAAAATGTGTTCAGTTATACCAACAAATTTGAAACACTGTAGGCAGATATCTTGTGATAAGTGAAACAATTGCATACAGTTACTTTTGGAAGGCGAGTTCCCATTGCTTTAAAGCAGAACACACGATGATTCAATGAGTAGGAGTCCCCATGGGAAATAACTCAACTTTGACAGCATCAAATGCCACACAACTGTGTTGGGAATGGTCAAAACTGAAAAAATCTCTCATATACATGTATATATCTGTGAATTAATTCACAAAATACATTTCATCTTTTGGTAGGAGTAGTTTCTGTTCTGTTGTTTATTAAATTTTTGTTCTCGGTCATTTATCAATTTTGATATCTTGTGTTTGTAGTAATCAAGTGTAGCAAGAGTAGCAGATCACTTCACCACAGCACAGTAGTTGTTGCTGACAAACGCAACAATCCATGCATAAGTTAACAGGCAAGCTTACACACGCTGCAGGCATCTCCTTTTTTTTCTCTACGAATATATAAAGGGAGGCTGCCTCGAAAATGTACACCAGCACTAAAGTTCTTTATCAAGTGCTGTATGTGACATGATCTTCAGGTTTTCATCAGTGGAACATTCATTTATCACGTTGGAGCTTTAGGAATGAAGGCTCAGCAAGACCACAATACATATGTGTTATGAATCCAACTCGAACAATCAGGAACAATTGCAGTGCTGGGATTAAATTTCCCAAGAACCAGACCAGTTTTTAAAGCATATATTTCAGCCGTCATATGCCAATGCTTGTAAACACTGTAAGCCCACCTTGTTATATATTCAATGCATTGGAATACACATCAACAGTGCACATTTGCTTCATCAAATGGGGAAACTTAAAAAATCAAAAATAGGAACAACATCAGAGCAGAAAGCACCATTCCATATGATAGAAGATCTTTCATTGTACGATAAAGGTAGACTCTCTTGTTAGGACAGATTAAACAATATATTTCTTTTAAAAACATTTGTGCTCAGACTGCATTAACATATCAAATTAACTGAATATATGTATTTTCAAACGTTTTTTGAACAAAGAAAGAATCATCAGAGCAAAAGCACAACTCCTCAAGATAGATGCGTTTCGTCACATGCCAACCTCAGGTACATGTATTAACATATTAAACACTATACATGTATTTAATGTTAATACTTAACAGAATAAATTTAAATTACAAACCCAAATCAATGTTTTAGTAAAATATCTATTTGATATCAGGTAGTGCTTGGCAAACAAATATCTTACCACTTGAGGAAGAGACCGCTGGATGCCTGCTATGTCTTGTTGATTCTGTAGAAACAAATGTTGATAATGGGTACATGTACAAGTAGGCAGTATAAAATGTTCCAGTGGTGCAGCAATGAATAGTTCAGTTGGTCTCATGTCAAATTATTTTCTGCAGGGGGAGGGCAAGAATCCTCTTCCGATCGATACACAAATTTTCGAGACTAAAAGTTTCGGACTGCCAGGACTCTACTCTTTATCAGTGAAATATTGGTGCTTTAAGAATGAAGGCTTGGCAAGACCACTTAGGTGTTATGAACGAAGCTCAAACAATCATGAACCAATTGCAGTGCTGAGAATTAAATCTCCCAAGAGCCAGACCAGTTTTTAAAGCATATATTTCAGCTGTCACATGCTAATGCTTGTAAACACGGTAAGCCAACCTTAATATACTTTACATGCACTAAAGTACACATCAACAGTGCACATTAATTTTGCTTCATCAAATGAGGCAAACTGAAAAAAAAAATAATACGAACAACATCAGAGCAGGAAGCACCATTCCATTAGATATGTCTTCCATTGTAAGAGAAAGGTAGACGCTCTTGTTCGGACAGATTAAACAATATCTATTTTAAAAACATTTGTGAGCAGATTGCACTCATCAAATTAATTGAATACATGTGCATGTATTTTTAAAACAACAAAATTCCATGAAGACCCACCATCTGGTGACTCCGGCATGACATGTTGTTTCCTGGATCCATTGGCCCTGTCTGTTTTGACTGGTGTGGATTCTGAGGATTTCAACAGGAAGAGGGTGGCTTTAGAACCAACATGAAAATGCCACCAGACTGACAATAACTTTTACTGCCCCATCCTCCCAATCCTGGGAAGTTTCTGAGATGACCGACTCTTCACTCCTCACATTTCATCATAAGAACCTTCAGTGTTCGCCAGACTCATTTTTGGGAGGCAGTTTGATGTCATAGGAAAAGTATGACTTCCTCAGATAGTATTATGTCATTGTGTCCAAAATATACATCTAAATAAGGGGGTGTGGCAGAATTCCTGGGACCATGGGAAAATAGAAATATATTATCAGGATTTATCAGTTATGATCAGTGAGACCTTTTCAAAGTGTATTTTTTATTGTACATTTTAAACCGACTTACAAGATCGTATATACATATGTATATGGCAAACTTGCCTGACTTGGCATATACCATAATACATTGTGGAATATTGTAACTCTACAAGCCTTCCATGTTACACTATTTTGAGTGGACAGAAAGTTGAATGCATGCACGGGTAAAGATTCTCCAAGAATTGATAAGAAGAGCCTGCAACTTTATAAGATAGGTATTTTAACAGAGCTTTCACATGGTTTTCAATTTGTTTATGGTAAATTTGCAAGTAACAGCCAGTAATAAAAATTTTCTTAGAGTTCTAGGCTAAAAACTAGAATTAATCAGTGATGCAACATGAAAAGAATGGGGTTAGGGTTGGGATACTGATGGATCCATGTCAAATATTATCTGAAGGAACAAAGTACCAGCACTTACTGGACTGAGGAGTTGTGCCATCTATCTTTCTGAGATAGCTCCCAACTGACGTTATTTCCCTCACAGCAAGAGGGCACTGGTACACATTAGTATTGATCTCTTGTGAATGGCCCATGTGCTTTTGTAGAAGGTATTTCTGTCTTTCTCAGGGACATCTTGAAGGGCGTAGAGTGTTGAAGCGATATTTTGTCGCTGTCAGAAGCGACAGATTCTCAAAATGGCCTTCCATCATTCAGTCACCTTCTTCAGTTCCGCCCATCCATTTACATGATTGCCAGACTTCTGAGTATACGGGAAGAGGTATATGTTCCAACACGCCAACTGATGATCTCATCTCCACAAGCTTGTCAATTGCTCGTGCTGTGTCATTGGGAATCAATACGGGAAAAAGCTTCCTGCTTCCCTTTCCTTTTTGATACGCCAGATTATACGAGTCAAGTAGGTACTTTTCGATGGGGTCTCTGTTTGCCTCTGCATGTTGAGGATCAACCCAGGCCTGACTGGCATCCTGCCACTCAGCGAGTGTCATCCTGCTTGGTTCACCTCCCCGATGTGCATTGAACACTGTCAACCTAGAGACTGCTAAGGCCCTTAGTTTGTTGAATACGTGGACATCAGACTTATCGCAGCTGTCAACAAGTTCTGCCATAGCAGTAACAGTGAAGCCCTTCAGCCGTTTAATATCACGTTCCAGTGGCATGGAGTGGGGCTTCCTGAGTACAGCCTGCCTGTTGCTTTCTACAAGAAACAAGCTTCTGCTGAACAAAAAATCCCAGTTGAGATCCAACAAAGCAAGAAAGCGATCAATTTCCTCGGCTTCCTCCAATCTATCCTCAATGATGTACACCCCTTTCATGACTTTTTGCTCCTTTCTTCAGAAGACAGCCCACACTTAGGCTTAATCCAGCTTTCACTTCTCCGTTGGGCTTCTCACTAAGGTCATCCAGGGCCAATTCTAGAGAAGCAAAGTTCCCACGTTTCAGCATGTCCTCGCCATTCAGACTGCAGTTCTCAGAAATATTTCTCATTTTCACAAGAAGGTTCCCCAATCTTCTCATATCATTCATTATGATTGACTTCTCCCTATTCACAGATCGACTCCACAGTTTCTTCCCTACCTGAATAATCATTGTATCGGTTCTGCAGATCTCCCCAACAGTGTCTGTCCTAAATTGATCAAGAATAGAAGACTGAAATTTGGCATCGATGTTATGGCTACCAGCATTCCTCAATGATGAAACTGGCACGGAAGATACTTTTCTAACAGCTGTGGAATGGCAGACTTGCTTGTGTCGCCATATACGTGACATACTATAAAAGCCATGACAACTTCCACACATAACTATTTCTGAAGTCCCTTGGTTTCTCTCCCTCATTAGTTCACATGAAGATCCCTCACTAGATTTCATCCTTCGTATGTTTTCTTTGTAAATCCCATTCTTTCGAATCTGGGACAGGGCCTCAAGCATTTCATTTTGAGGAAGTTTAAGCTCTGCTTTTACTTCTTCCTGCTCCGGGTGTTTCCTTCGCATGTGATGGGTAAGCTGCGACTGTGCCTCTCCACAGTAAACACAGGGCCTTTTTGGACATATTCTTTCATATGTTTTAACCTATAATGAGAATAAAGTTAAATACCGGTAGTGACTTTGCTGTGTGCATGTTGGTATCTTAAACCAGCACACCTGACTTTTAGTTTGAACTCCAGTACTAGCAATTTCCCAATTTCATAATCAAACATCACTGTGGTGTCAAATATATATGTAGACATGCCATTTGTTCAATGAACCATGTTGTGCAGGATCAGGAACTCACTATTACCTAGGGGTTAAATTCAGGCTCTACCTACATGTACATAAAAACATCAATACATGTATTTGTCTCCACAACAAATATGGAACAATGCTGCCACTAGCCTGTTAGCTCTCTCTAGACCTGACAGTAACTCGAGCAACACTGTCTAACAAACGTAGCATAAGTATTACAATATACCAATCCAGTAAGCTTGGCCCACAGGCATGTTGACTAATCAGAGCCACAAACCCAATTGCTTAATGTCATCAGTCCGCCATGATGGTTATCAACCTACCATATGGTTAGCACTACACATGCATCAAATTGTGCAAACGTACAACACAATTCCCTCATTGATATTTGATCAATGCTCACTGATATGACAGGAAAGCTGTAACTACATATTTCAATCGTGTTTAACTGATCCAGATGAGGTGGACAGTGGCCGTGAAAACAGGCGACAGAAGTTCATGATTATCGATCGTTGAGCCAGCTAGACATGTGCATCATGCATGCAGGGCAGGATTTATGGGATCAGTCCATTACAGTACCTAAGACTTTATTCCTGAGATCAAACAAAAAAACATGGGAAAAGCAAAAATGGGATGAAGAATAAAAAATGAAGTGATGGAATAAAGACAGGGCTCGGTTGGACAACAGGCATGCAAGCTCTTACATAACAGTAAATGCCTGTTTTGATTAATATACAGGTATAGGTACAGCACAGAGACGTTCCCAGCATGGAACACTAACAAATGAAACAGAGCTGTGCCATTAGCAATGGCAGATTGAGGATGGATTTGTAGTGGATGGCAGGCCAGTCTTACCATCTAATGCTACCTCTACGGCCTCACGGACCAACCATAAGGTCAACGGACAGACGGATGCATTTTATCATTTTCATCATTTGATTTTACAACGTCAGCACTAATTCATATGATCCGTGCTATTCTGGCTCAGCTGAATGAAATTTCCAAATGTTAACCCAAACCCTCCTCAATCCTTCACCTGTTGGAGGACTGAGGAGTGTTAGGGTTAAAACCTAGCAATGAAAGGACATGGAAAAGCAAAATGTAACAAAAGAAATCAAATAAGTGAATAAAGGCAGCAACAAAGTTAGCATACAGGAGCAAATTACACGTACATGTATGGGTGGATGAGGCATGTTTGCCGCTGGAGAAAACTCATGCGCCCCCCCAAATGGGGTAATAATGTTCAAGTTAGTAAAACTGCAACGTTAGCAAACTGTAACACTCACAACTTCACAACACCGGCCAGAGTTACAATATTAATATAACAATATATAATTTTTCCTGTTACATACATGTACATGTATCATTATCAGTACATGTATGTGCATAACAAAGTAGTCCAAACAGACTTATAATCCCAAGAAATGGGATTACATGGTAAAACAGTCACACATACCTCTGATTTAGTATTCTTGGAACTCTCCTCTTCAAAACAATATAATGAATACTACTTTACTACAAATGATACATTGACAATGAATACAATCTAGGCACCTAAGAAGGTGGCCATAGCTGAAGAGGGGGGAGTGGAGAAGACTGTTTGCTCAATTACGTTTGAGTTAAAAAAAAGTTGAAATGCACACAAAATACCTAAGGTCTCTCAAGTACACTTTTTTGGCGGGGGGGAAATAAATGTTGAGTCACATTTCTGCATGAAAATTCCCACTGACAATGCATAAGACAATTTCTTAATGTAAAGCACTTTACTGTGATAATATTAAGGTTAGTACTGTGAACGAATTCTCTCAAGTTGGACATGTGTCATTCCATGAAGTTCGGGCACTGTTTGTGACGGCATCCCTTGATACATTGGTAACTTTTATTGCCCATTATTTTCACATTGCAACAGATTAAGACATACTATTGGGCGAAGATGAAGCACACCACTACAAGCACCAAGCAAAATTTAGAACATGTCAATTTAGAATCCATATGCAGGGAAAAAAGATTTTTATTTTCAATGATGTAACATGGGACGCGGTCACAAACTGTGCCCTAACTTCGTGGAATGACCCATATGCAGAAGAGTAATGTACACTATAAAGAAGTAAATTATCTTAAGTTGGAAATTTTTCTTAGTGTTGGTTCAGAGGTTACATGTGCTTCTGGTATTAACGTCTACTTAATCCAAGTGGAGGTGGAATACAAAAAGAATAATGTCACAGCGAGAACTCAATATTAAAAAGCACCAAATTTATCACTGTCTAAATGTAACAAATTACTACCGGTGCAATACTTTCTGACTCACATCAAAAGTATTTAGATGGCAACTTATTTAATACTACAGTGTAGGCCCTATTTCATCACTGACGACTGTTTCTTTTGGAACAGCAGTCAAATTTGCTCACTTTTATTAAATGTTATTAGTTTTTCCCTAATCTCCAGAAAGAAAAGACATTTTCAAGGTTCCCCTGATTTTCAAGGTTGCTGTGAACGTATATACGTGTACATGTATACTCAACCCTAACAGTCCTCAATCGTCCACCTGTCGAAGGATTGAGGACTGTTAGGGTTAACCTTGTTACACCTTATTATTCATGCAATACCTACTGTCATTGGTCAACATGGGCTTGCCATAAAGCATTGTATAGGCCACCACCTATTGGCTTATGTATTGCATCCATCAAGCTTGGAATTTCAATTCAATCAAACATTTATTAGTCACATACAAAATGCAGTTGCAATCAGAATACATGCACATGTACATGAAATAGAAAAGAGTCAAAATAGCAGACACGTTAGACCATTTCCAATCGATACATGTATAAAAAAATGAAAAAAGGTAGACAATACACACCGACTTAGGGACAAAAATAGAGAATCCATCCTACATGTACTTACAAATGATGAGACTACCCTGCCCCCAATATTACCAATCCGGTTTACATGGGGAAACGCATTCTACACATAGGAAAAGTGTGTCTAAATCATCACCCTTTTTTCCTTAAATCTACACGTCATGCAGAGCTTTACTGTAAATAAAAATTGGAATATATATCACATTACAATAACATGCACATACAGAAACAAGAATGAATGGCCAAGATTAATAAAAAAATGTAACCACTGTAGCTGGAAAGCCTATTACATGTAATTACCGACTAGGATCTATGGTGAAGTTCTGCAAAATATGGATAAGTGATACTTTTATGTGTGTTCAGTTACAAAATCACATACCTTCCGCAGGTTCCAGAAAATCACAGTTGTGAGATGCTCTCAGACTTCTTGAAACACCTGTTGAGGTTATTTTGGTTGTTTCGTGGTCAGCCTTTATAATATGATACTCTCTAAGATATTAAAGTCAATAAAATAATTATGTGTTTTTTTTCTCCGTTGATTACATGTAGTGTCAACGGAATGTTAAACACCAGATTATCATGCTTTACTATGATACAGGAAACAGCTCATCAATCTGCCTGTGCTGTATCAGATCAATCCATACCTGACAAAAGTTATACAAAGCAATACTCGTACATGTACACCATTTGGAAATTTCCTTTAGCTGATGATTAACAACTTGCTGTCGGGTTCATTATAAATGTTGATGATGCTGGGCCGGGATAATTATCATATTTTATGTTTTCAAAATTCTTAAAAAAATAATCATTTCATTTAACGGACATTTACACCCACAGGCAGTGATCTTTAGGCACTACTCTAAATTGACAGCTGACCTTCAATGATGCCCGAGTATTTCAGCTGCGCCTGCAGCCTTGTAAAAACAGCCCAGCTTGCGCGGTGTTACGTAAGATTTTTTTGTTCCCGAAACCGTTAGCAGCGAACTGCTGACCTGTATTCAATGAGGACCCGATTGGCGTGCAGTAGTGCTGTGTGGCTGTCGCTGCGGTGGTGGAGAGCTTTTTTCCCCGGTGATAATTCGCTTGCTCTAAATGCCCCCAAACCGTGACAAAAAATGTCAGTAATTCCCAGAAGCTTGGTCTTTTGTTACAAGGCTCAACTCTTTTGTCCGGTTACGGAGTCCCCGGCTTCATTTATATAAAGCCTCGGTGCTCAAAAATGGGTCACCCGTCAGGAAGTGGTTAAAATTACGTTAAAACCTTGATAACTCAAACTCGGCTAAGTCAAAAGTCCGCTTTAACTCGAAGTGATGTTTCATTCCTGCTGAAAGAACAGGCATTCCTTTACAAACACAATTTCCTAAGTCAAATATTATCAGTGGCCGAAACCTTGCTTAAGTCTAAGATTTTGCGTTGCCAATCCAGAAAACCGCGTCAAATCACTTAAAAAAATACAATGTGGGACCACAAAACCACAGTTCGGAGTCATTGCTGCTGACGCTGCAATTCCACGCACCACACGGCATGCTTCACGCTGTGCTGTCACTGCAACCTAACCTCGTTCCCATGACAATCATCCGCCGCTACAAGATAGATCACGGAGACGAGGTTGCACCGCAACCACGTCAGCTTTGAGGCTAGCCTGATTGCTGCTGCAAAACCCATGAGTGGACAGGCTAGTCGCTGTCTTTTACGGTGGTCACGGGACCATGGAAAGTGATGTCACTGGAAAAACCCATTTGCAAGCAAAGCCGAAAACCCCCAGTAAAAAGCGTTTTAAAAACGATCGGCGAAAAGACGGAAGATATACTGCACGAAGGTACATGTACACCTTAGCGTCACAACTTGTTTATTTATTAGCAGAAACGAAACCTGTGCATACTACAACATAAAAATCATAAAAATCCATCTCTCAAATAAAAATCTTCACAAAATAATTTTTTATGAGAATGAAGTGTTCCATGATGATGAATAAAAAGTGGAAGATATCCAAAGTAATGCAACTGTGATGTACGCATGGTGTATACACGTATACGGTATGACCGTCGGACTTCTGATAAATATAAGTCCGGATAACTGGAATTTTCATTCATTCCCTTGAGTTTTGAGTTTTCAAGGTTTTAATGTAGTTTTCAAAACATTGAAACAGGAAACAACCGTTACCACTCTGATTTCATTTATCTGCTTTAATTAGTTCCTTGTTCAAAGGATGCAGGATGGTTTGAAAAATTGAGAAAGTAGACTTGAATGATGAATCCGTGATTTTGGATCAACAGTGCAGCATGCTCAACGAGGGAAGGAGGACCGGTAGTAAATGAGTTTGAATTTGGGGCAGATTAGTCACAAGCGTAACCAAACTGTCATGGGCATAGAGAACTTTGATGAGGAAATGAAGGTTCTTTTATAAAGTCTTTAAATAATTACTTGCTGAAAAAAATTTACCAGGTAACGGATCAAACACCAAACTTTCATCATTACTGTTTGACTCAGACACATAGACGTCCGAGTCATTTCTGTGCAGATCATCTATGACTCTAATAGCATCGTCAGAGCCACCTCCAGTCACATCTAAATGTATCTGGACCAACTGATTCTGCACCAATAGGATCACTTGAGTCACTTGAAACTGGATCATCTGGGTCACCTCCGCTGGGATCATCCGAGCCACCTGCAACGGGATCCGAGTCATCTCCAATGCGATCATCTGAGTCACTGACAACTGGATCCGAGTCATCTCCAGTGCAATCATCTGAGTCACTCAGAACTGGATCATCAGAATTATCTGAGTCACCTATGAGATCACATGAGTCATTTCCAACTGAAAAGTTAGTTATCCCCGACGGGATCACCAGTGAGGTCAGCAGAGTCACCTCTGACTGCAGGATTATCCTTAACGGGATCACCAGACCCATACGCTTTCGGGTCACCAGAGTTATCATTCACTGAAGGGTAATCCGTGACTGGATCACCACAGCAGTGCCCAGTGGGGTTACCAAAGTCACCTCTCACTGCTGAGTTATCAACCACGGGATGCCCGATGGGTTCACCAGAAACACCTCCGACTGCAACGCTACCCCACGCTGAATCAGCAGGGCGGACTCCATCTCTAGGCTAAATAAAATCAAGTCAATACTCAATATACAAAGTGTGTTTCACAAGGAAGGTAAACATGCTTTGAAGGACTGGTATGGCCATCAGTATTAACAAACTTATTGCTACTACATTTGTAACTTGACTCATTTCAAGAAGGAAAAATATGCCAGGTTAAAAGCAACCAGTATCTCTGGACAGTTTTGATATTGCAACAGGGACCAACCTCAATCGGAGCAAAGCAAACTCTAGAAGGCAGCAAACAGGACGATCTGAGGAAAACACTGAACCTGTCAGAAATCACTTTCAGCAGAATCCTAGAATTGTTAGTGGCAGAAGAAATGGATTTCCAACTGCAACACTTAGTCGCATACAAGGCTTGACATCGAAGAGGTGAGTAATCAATGTTTCTGGCCAATGGGTGAAAATGGGCTTGGGACCAATCAAACGAAAGCACGACATAAACCTTTACCTGAGGACTTACTGTGACTTTTGTCCCAAGCCCAATTTGACCCATTGGTCAAAACCATTTATTACTCAGCCATCCATGACCGTATGTAAGTTTTAGGTAGTAATGCCAGCATAAATCCTTTTCAATTCTCCTTCTCTCTCTCTCCACACTGCAGCTAGGTGAATCTTTACACAATCTCTTGACATGTCATTATAAAGAGGAAGCCTGTAGCTTGAAGGTGCTACTAACCATTTTGGCGTAAACTAACACAATCTGCAGATAATTTAAGATAAAATTTTTGATACATACTGTACACTAAATTATCAATGATAAATGATTCAAAATGCAATATTAATTTTTTGTTCCATGGTAGTTTTGCTTCGGGAATGCCATAATCATAGAGCATCTCATCCTCTTCCTTGATTGTAGTGCTGGCAAAAAGGCAAAGGAAAGGGGACTCATCCACCTCGAGCACTGCCATTTTGGCATTCCTTTCCTTCAGGTTTCCATGGTTCACCAGTCTGCCAAGCTGGAAGCCATTTTGAGGTTCTTCAGATGCATCAATGCTGGATTTAACATTAAAATACACAATCAGTGACATAAAATCAACAAATATAATCAATTTTAATGTAAAAATAGCTGAAATATAAATTATTTATGATGAAACTTTAAATATCACTGTATCTTTTTGAATGCTCAAATGCTTTTAAGCTCATGCATGCAAAAAATGTGGGCTTATTTGTAGGGGATCCTTATGAAGCAATAGTCAGGCCAAAAGTAAGTCCGTATGCACGGAAATTCTACGGACTATATTCTCACAAATGTTTTTGAAGACCTTTACGTGACAGCGATACTGATCATGATGTCAAAACAGGAACATTTCCTCTGAAGATGTTACATCTGTGAAGTTTTAAACTGATTTCAAAAGATTAGTGTGAAAAACTATACACAGAAAAACACCATGTCAATAAATTAGACCACAAAATGCACTGATGCATTACCATGATCTTGTTAAAAAAATTACATCAGCACGAAATGTTTACATACCTTTTGAGATGACGTTCCTGACCACAAATGAGTCATCTGGATCTGTCCCCCGTCTTTTGGCCTCTATGGCCTGTTCTCTGGGATTGCAAGTATTTGCCTGTTCACGTCTCCTTGCTGAGCGTCTCCTTCAAACAAAGAGACAAACAAAGAGAACCGAGTTCAGCTCGTGTTGTTTGTATTGTGGCATTGCAAATTAATATTACGCCAATCAAATTTGTGGTTCTGCAGTATTCATAAATAAAGTTTACAACGTGACACATGGCAGGCGTGGATCCAGGGGAGGGGGCCTGGGGGGCACATCCCCCCTTTTCTTTCAGCCCGAAAAAATCCTATATAAACAGAACTCTGTTCAGTTCAGCATGAGTACATATTATTACTTACATGTAGTTGGTCAACAAAAGACCAGTCTCTACAGCCTACACTAACTTTTCACTCAACTGGTTGCCAACCATGCCTACAGAAAGGAAACCTTTGTATTGTAGCAACGGCCTAGCAATGGAATGCAAGCGTATGCATGATGCACTTGCCAGGTCACACGATCAACGATCATGGACTCCAGTCGCCTGTGTTCATGGCCAAGTTCCACACCTCATTTTCATAAGACGATCAGCAGGAAAACAACTAAAGTTTAGTCTTAGCCTTCCTGTTTTATTCATGATCATTGATGTTAAAGAATATTGCCAAAAGGTGAATTTGTTGTGCTTTGTGCAGTTTATCATATCATATCAAAGAGTTACATATAAAAAGTTCACTAGACACCCTGTGTACATGTACAAAGCCTATGAGACTGGTCTGAAAACTTATATATTTTTTCACTGATAAAATTGACTTTTACGACTTTCTGGGGGCTTATACATGTATAGGTTACTACAGGAGGCAATTAGTAAACTTGATCTTAATGGAACTTTTGCCCATTGAACATTATATTGTTGATTGACAACCATCATGGTGGATGCTGGAAGATCAATTACAAAATTGGTGATCATTCATCTCTCCATTCATTCATCATTCATTCATTTATTCATTCATACATATTTCTGCTTAATCTTAACATTAAGAAAATGTAATGACAATGAGAAGAATAGCTATTGGGGGATTGAGCGGTGGATGCCTCCTAAAAGCAAGCTTACATGTCAAGACATCTGCACTAGTAAGCAGGAGGTCGTGGGTTCGAGTCCCACCCGAGTAAGCTTGTCAGGTTTTTTCGCAAGCTGTCGAACAAGCACTGAGCATACAGTGTTTATTAATATACGTTGGGTAAGGGCAAACCCGTTATATATAATTAACATCTCCCCAACGCAAAAAAAAAAAAAAATACATCTTGAAAATACATGGAGGTAGGAACTTCCATGGTTAACAATGCAATAAAATGTTACGTTCAACTATGAACATTTACATTGCTGGTTTTGTGATTCAATTTACTCTCAACCCAGAACAATACATTTGTATTATTGTATCATGTGTACTGAAGGGTGACAGAGAGGGGGAAAATTGGATGTTACATTTTGTATTGTAGGCAAGTATCGTCGAAGCAGAGCTGTGTCAAAACACGACAGCGATAGCGATGCATGGCTTATGCATGCAGCGCTGAGCGCCAGCACGTGTGTGTTATGTGTGTGTAGAGCCGACTGTGGGCACAAGTGCTCTGACCCAGGCTGTCTACATGTGTGACACAGGTGAGGCTGTGTTGATTCACCGGTAGGAGGGGCAATTTTGGAGTCAGTTGTTAGATGGCAAAATGGCACGTATCGACAAGATTAAACCTTATTTAGTGAGTTTACATGTACATGTATATTCCCATTTTGGAATATTTCCCATTTTGTAATTTCTACCTGATCAAGGAAAAGACAATTTGGGTCAGTTATAACTCACCCCCTTTCAAAAATCAACCACTGCGCATATGCCATTGAAAAGATGACGTCTTTCCCTCTAAGCTTGTTCCTGATTGGTTAATTTTGGATGGGGTTTCCAGGTAAAAATGGAATTTCAGGCGTCCACCAACACGGTAAACCTGGTCATCTTTGTCGAAGAACGGATCAAGCTTCAAGATGTTTGGATCCTGGAAGTTGATGCCTCTTTGTGCTTGTCTTATCCAGTACAACTCAGCCTCCCTGATCAGCTTTGAAGAGGGCCACTGTGAAATCTGCTGGGTTAACTGCTTGAGCCACTGCTTTTTCGGTATTTCTTTCAAGGAGAGTACTCTAGCTGTGACCATCTTTAGCCTGGACCAACTGGAGAACTCGGTAGCATCGACAATCGGAGCAGGGTTTGAGGTAGCATTGACTTTGAGCGCCAGTATCTTGGCATTCCGCACGTGGAACTTCTTACGCTCTTCATCTTTCAGATCTACTGGGATACTAGACGGCGTCTTGGGCCAGGACTGTGGGGGTAGCTTCAGGTATACCGGCCCATCAATGACTCGTTTCATGCCAGTAGCTGTTCCCCCTCTGGAAACAAGGTCGACGACATTCTGGTCGGATGGAACGTATGCGACGTCCTTGATTGGATCAAACTCCGTTGTTATCTCGCCTACACGGTAAGCAACAAAGGAACGGAAAGATTTGGACTGTCCTCTCAGCCAGCTTATAGCGGTCATGCTATCCGTCCAGATCTTCGAGTATGCCATGTAGAAACGAAGGGCTTTCTTGACAGAGAGCATCAATCTAGACAGTAGGAGAATGGCTTGAAGCTCCTTTCGGGGAATGCTTGTCTGCTTAAGTGGTGTAACTCTGGCTCGTGCGCAGACAAATGTCAGGTGTGCCTCAGTTTCTTCTGGGCGGGACCACCTCAGCCAAACTCCGATACCCATGGCATCTTCTAATGCATCGCTTGCGCCATGTAGGGACACTTCGGGCAAGGGCCTCATTCCCTTGTACTGCTCCGGAATCAGGCACCTAGGGATTTCAATGTTGGCTACTTCCTCAAGGTCTCTGTTGATCTCACTCAGCGCGGCACTTAAGTCGCCCTTTGGGTTGAGCGGGGTGTCCCAGTCAAGCTCCAACTGCCATAACTTCTGAAGGAGAATCTTCGGTCGAACATGGAGTCCCGACAGCATGCCGAAGACATCATAGTAGGAGGCAGTGTGTCTGAGGATGTTGCGTTTGGTAGGGACATCCTCGGCCGGCTTCACCTCTTTGACCTTCAAGGTGTCTTTCACAAGGTTCCACTTGGTGCCTAAAGCTGTGGCAACTTTAGCATCTTCAGTCTTGTCACATAGTTTTTCTATGTTTGATTGCCATTTCCTTATGGCAAAGTTGCCCTTCTTCAGGGTCTCGGTGAGTTTTAACTTGAGCTGTAGGCCTTCTTCAGTACTGACAACAGATTCGTTCAAGTCGTCCATGTAGAACTGGTCTGCGACCACTCGGTTCAGCTGTTTGTCGTCTGCAGCGTGTTCAGCTACTATATGCCTCAAGGTCACAATGGCAGCGGTTGGAGACGGTTTGTCTCCAAAGCTAACCGTCGTCAGCTCGTACACATGGATGGGTTGACAGGGGTTCTCTCGAAACACAAATCTGTGGAAGCGGGCATCTTCAGATTTGATCTTGATGGCTTGGAACATCTTGCTGATGTCAGCGATGAGACCAACCTCATTTTCTCGGAAGCGCAAGGCAACTTCAAACAGATCGGAGTTTATATTCTCACCCTTCACGAGATAATCATTGAGTGAATGGCCCTGATACTTTGCCTTCGCGTCGTACACCACTCTGACCGGAGTCGTCTTCGAGTCTTTGGTGACAGCAAAGTGGGGCAGGAACCACATCTTCTTGTCATTTTCTCTGTCTTGCTGCAGCTCCTCTTCCGTGATACGCCGGGAGACGCCTCTCTTCAACTGGTCTCTCATCTGTTGGCAGTAAGTTGCCCATTCCTCGGGTCTGTTGCGGAACTGATTCTCTAGACTCTTCAACCTCTTGACGGCATAGTCGTAGTTATTTGGCAGATCATCGGGCGGTTTCTTCCAGGGCAGTCGATTCTCGTATGAACCGTCTGGCAACTGAAAGACACTCTGCTGCATGGCCTCAGTTGCGTTCTTGTCGATGAGATCGGCAGAGCATCTACATCTCTTAGGTTCCAATCCTGCTGCTTCTAAAGCGAGGAACTCTTCTAGTGGACCAGTGGCCGAGACATTTACATAGTTTACCAACATAGCTGAGCTTGCTGACCGTCCCCCTTGAATGAACCAACCGAGCGGGCATCTAACTGCAACAGGTTCGTCAAAATTCTCACCACAGATGTAGTCCTCCCAGACCATCAGATGTATGTTATCGACACCCAGGAGTAGGTCGATAGTCTGCGATGGAGCAACTTGAATGTCGACCTGACACAAATGGTCGTACTGTCGGAGCTGATCTGGTAGAATTATTGGAGCTTTGCCACAAGGCTCGTCAATCTCTGTGACAGATAAAGGGGACGACCACCTTCCTTCAACGTCTTCAATGTGGCAGTCCAAAAGTCTCAGCTTTCTGGTTATCTTCTTCCCACCGACGAGACTAAGGTCGTGATCCTGGTAGAGGTCTCGCTCGGATTTTGGAAAGACCCCTTCTCTCAGCAGGGTAGCTTGACTGCCACCATCAAGCAGGATACGGACCAGATGACGAGTGTTTCCATGACGAAGATATCCCATGACAGTCGGTAAGGTGCCACGTAATTTTGCAGGATCATTGAGGGTGACTTGTCGACACATTGACAGAACCATTCGCGGGGTGGAAGGGTTCTGCATGGCCACTCAGCTAGCTCGGGGGATTTTTTCCCTTCCCACCGTACACAACAGGACAGATGGCTGAGAAGTGCGAGTCACTCCCACACGTCTGGATACGGCATGGAGACGCGAACTGACATGAGCTGGAATCGTACGGAGGTTTACCCGCCGCACAATTGTTGTGTCCACAACGGCTACAGATGTTGTACCTCTTCATGACCTCGTACTTTTCTTTCAATGGCAGACTTCTGAACTTGTTGCAGGTCTTCATATAGTGTGTGTTCGAGGTGGTGTGTAATGCGCACTTGGGTAATCCTGACTGCTTTCCCTTGTCTGTGTGGCTGTGCTTATTCCAATTCACTGTGGCCGAATTCGCAGACTTGACTGTTTTATTGTGCGCTACCGGATAGGTCGATGCACTCTCTGAACCAGCTGGTCTCGCTTTCTCCAGGAGTAGTTGCTGGCCATAGATCCATTTCACAAGGCCAGTGAGAGAATCCTCAGTGTGGTCATCCCTCACGCTCTTGCAGTAGGCAATTCGATGTTCCTCCGGTAACTTCTGGTTTATCTGACTTAACATGATCTTGCTATTCAGTTCTCCGGATAGTCCGATGGCCTCAGCATGGGTCTCAAATATCTGCAGGGCCTGAACGAAGCGGCTCATGGCAGGGAGATTGATTCTCCCCTTAATCTCGTACGTCTTCAGGTTATCCAAATCTCTCAGGAGGCTGTCCACAATTTTGTCAGAATCCCCGTAGCACTCATCAAGAACTTGCCATGCTTTCGCGACATCAATGCAACCCTTGACACGATTGCGTTCTTTGGCATTGACCATTGACTCCGTCAGTTGGTAGAAACGTTCGATCTCAGTTAGGCCTGCAGAACAATGGACAAACAATTCCTTGAATCGTTTGTATTCTCAGATGTTACTGTTGAAGGTAGGGAATTTCATTCTTGCCATCTTTGGGGTTGATGATGTAGGGTGAGGGGTGGCAGGTGCTGTTGGCGAGGTTGTACCGGATGTGGCTGGCACAGTTTCTGAACTCACAGGCTTTGCAGGATCACTGGATGTGGCTTGCTTCGTTCCCGTGCTCACAGGCTTTGTAGGGTCACTGGATGCGGCTTGCTCATTTCCCGTGCTCACAGGCTTTGTAGGGTCACTGGATGCGGTTTGCTCATTTCCCGTGCTCACAGGCTTTGTAGGGTTGCTGGATGCGGCTTGGTCCTTTCCCGTGCTCACAGGCTTTGTAGGGTCAGGAGAGGGTTTGTCTGGTACAGATGGTTGCGACAGACTGTCAACAACTTGTCGTGCACGGAGTAGAATCTGGACAAACTCTGATTCACAATCGCCCATCCATTTCTCCTCAGCTTCAAACTCTATCTGCTCTTCAATGGCCTCCATTAACTCGAAGTGTTTCTCCTCTATCTTCTCAAACTGCTTCTCAGCCTTGGATATGTATTTCCTCATCAGTTCCAGATCATTAACACCCTCTTTCATTAAGTCGTTTATCGTAGTCAGTGTTCTTGTCAGTTGACCCTTGGTGTTCCGTCTGGTTAACTTCAATTTGTTGACGTCAGCCATGTTGCAATATACAGACGCACAGATCGGGATACACGAAGTTGTTGAAGATGTTACGAAATCAAAGAAATGAACACGTTGTTGCAATTGTTCCAAATGAGCTGAACTCCATTGTCATGTTGTTATTCAGACGAC